CAAAAAATATGGCAATAACTGAGTGATTATTTGCAAAGGCATTACGAACATACATATCCAAGCGTAGTAAGGGGTCTGTGGTAGAACAGCCCTTACGAAAGCCATATTGACGAGTGGAGAGACTGTCGTGTGTCTCTAAATACCACACTAAACGTCTATTTACCAGGCGTTCCATCACTGCAAACTGCACTGGTAAGAGCAATGGGACGATAGTGGGAGGCTTCACGTCCCGTAGTACCCGGTTTGCGGAAAGGGAGAACAATGGCAGATTTCCACAGCTGTGGAAGAACTCCCTGTGACCAAATAAGATTGAAAAGGCGTAATAGGACTGCAAGGGCTGACTGATGTAAATGTTGTAGCATACGAATATGAATGTCGTCGGGCCCAGCTGCCAATGATCGGCAAGCTGAGAGTGTTGCCTCCAGTTCCTGAAGTGTAAAAGGCACATTATACTGTTCTTCTCTGAGAGAAGAAAAGTCCAAGGGTGCTAACTCTCTGGCAGACTTTGAGGAAAGAAACGAGGGGCATAGATGGAGCCCCCTGAGAAATACGGACCAGATGATTGCCAATTTCGTTGGCAACATCTAGTGGGTTTGCTCTATCAACACCTGCAACCCACAGAACAGGAGCCGGGTCAGGAGAATATTTATCACTCAGTTTTCGTAATTTTATCCAGACTGCACTCATAGAGGTGATGGTGGAGACATAATCTCGCCAGCAAGTGCATTTAGCGTCACGGCGAGCGATCGCACTCTTCTGCTTAAAATCAAGAAGTCTTTCCGTGGTTCTATTGTACCAGTACTTGCCCTACGCAGCGTGTTTCAAACGTACTGCACGAGCACAAGCAGGAGACCACCAAGGCACACATTTCTGAGAATGCCTGCCCGAAGTTTGGGGTATAGAATGAAGCTGCGGTTAAAACAGAGGACGAGAAGAGGTGTAAAAGCTCATCAATGGAGGACGAAGAAGGAACCTCACTAAAAACAGTTAGTTGTGAGTAAAGGCTCCAATTTGCCAGCGTGGGTTACGAAGAGGTGGTGAATATGAAGGGGAAGTAAGAATGATTCTGAAATGATCACTGTCATGTAAATCTGGGAGAACAGACCAGGTGAAGTCTAATGCAGCGGAGGAAGAGCAGACTGAGAGATCAATGCAAGAGAGAGTATGAGTCTGAGGATCAAAATTGGTGTGAGTACCTGTATTTAAAACATGGAGGGGGAGGGTAGCAAGAAATCCCTCTAACTGAATGCTACGGGAATCACAGTGAGACCTCCCCCCCAGAGGAAACGATGGGCATTAAAATCGCCAAGTAACAGAAGTGGTGGCGGTAATGACGAAACAAAAAAGGCAATATCCGGGATAGATAATGCCTGAGAAGGAGAGAGATACAAAGAACAGAGTGTATACCACCTATGCAAGTGGATACGGGCTGCTGCGTAATGCAGCGAAGTACGAACAAATAGCTGATGGTACAGAATATCAGTGCGTAGAAGGGCACTTTCATTAAAGGTTCCATCAGGAAAAGGATCTGAAGAATACAATAAATTATAGCCTGAGATGGGATAGATAGCAGCAGAGTGTAATTTTGGTTCCTGTAAGCAAACACCAAAAGGGAAAACTGGGAGAGCAACATCTGAAGCTCACCCCAATTACCCCTGAGGCTGCGAATATTCCACTGTAAATAGACCATGATTGATAAAGATACCTGAAATCCGCAGGTAAGGGTACCTATGGACTAGAGGGGTTAGAAAAGTCCACATGCGGTGGCAAAGGAAAACGTTCAAGTAGCGAAGGAACGGTGCGTTGTGAAGAAAGTTGCGCAGATGGAGAAGAGGAAAGAGAAGGAACAGAGGGTGGATCAGTGTCCATTGATGGTTTGGTCTCTGCAATATATTCAGAGACATCGTATGGGAGACAATATTGGAGATGGGAGGAGGAGGAGTTTGAGTAAAGATCGGAGCTGTAATGGACTGTACCAAGGTGGGGGGGGGCGAAAGGGTGGAGGGAACTGGAGAAGTGTGGGAGGGGACAGAAGAGGAAGGCACAGTACGAGGAGGAGGATGAACCTCCACACTTGTAACGGAGCCAGTGAAAGTTGAAGACCTAGGTACAGAGACCGGGAAGGTAAAATGTGGAGGTGGATGAAGGGAAGGAGGGGTTAAAGGAGATTTGTTGGACCTCTGAGAAGTAGAGGGACGATTGGGAGGTGTTGTCGTATGAGGTCTTGTGAGGGAGAACATGAAGAAGTGAGGACAGACTGAGGTGTTGAAGTAGGGACGTCTGAGCCCAGGACAGTAAAAGAATTAGATACAGGAGTGACTATGGGACTGGCAACCGCAGAGGAGGCTGCAGAAGATGGGGACGTTTTGAAACACAAGAATAAGAAACATGGGGTAGTCTCCCTTGGAGGCAGAGATGAGAAACTGCCATAGCATAAGGGAGACCTTCTGCCTCTTTGAGGCAACGAATTTCCCACTCATTTAAGTAGACCTGGCAACGGCGAGAGTACGAAGGGTGAGCCTCATGACAAGGCAAGAGGGAGGTCAACTGCAAGATGTATTAGAATGGTCATCGGCACCACAGACTGGGCATTCGGCTATAGATCTGCAATATTTTGCTGGGTGGCCAAATCGCCAGCAATTCCTACACTGTTGTGGTGTAGGGATCTCCTTCCGAACTTGTAACCGATGTCCTGCTACATAAACAGAGGATGGGAGTTCACGGCTGTCAAAAGTTAAACGAGCCACATTGCAAGGGTATCGTCTTCGCCCTCGGGCAGGAAGAACACGAGTGTCGATCTTGGAGTTCCAGCTGTTCGAGAATGTCATTACCACATGTCTGGAAATTCTGTTGGTCTATGGTATGGGGCAGAATAACAGTACCACTACAAGAATTGAGGGAATGATATTTTTTGATAGTGATAGGAATAGCATCGTTATGTGAAAGAAGAGAAAGATCATGAGCTTAGGTAGAATTCTGGACTGTGATGATGCGCGTACCACTCTTAAGAGCATGAAAGGAAATATCTCTACCAACGTGGCGTAGGAGCGCTTTGCCAATACTATGGTCGGAAAGATAGGCAGAAGAAGAAGTCGGTCTTAAAGTAAAGAATTTAGTCCATTGTATGGTCCAAAACTGAGTGTGGAGAGGGAGTGCTTGACGTGTCGGTCTTTTCCGAGTAGAATGGGAAGGTAACGAAGTAACATCATCAGGAGATTGTCGTTGGCGTTTAGAAGTGGGACCAGAGTCGATCCAACGTGGGATGGGCTGGCGACTCGAAAATCATCGCACCATAGAGGGAGAGGCCGGAAGCATAGTCAAAGGAGAGCGGAGGTCAGACAAATCGAAGGAGTCAGTCGAAGCCCCGGCACCTGAAGCGGGTGACGAAACAGCACCAGCAAGAGGTACAGGAGCCTTAGGAATATCCGAAGAGTGGCCAAAAGATGAGGCGAGGTCAGAACGGGGTGCGGTAACAATAAGGGGCCCAGGGTCATGGATTGGGTGTTCCATGGTTAGGGGGGGACCGGGGAGAGATAAAAGGGCCAGAAATCTCCCCCCGTGCCATACCCTACCCTTCATGCCAGTAAACCAGCAATCCGGGATAGCAACCTCACATCTACCGAGCTACCTCGGTGGACAAAGAGAGGGCGGCCGGATATCCGCCACAAAGCATACCTCCTTCGGCCACCACCCCTGGAATCCAAAAGGTGGCTTCCAGAGATACGCCCGAAGCCACCCTCCGGGATACTGGAGAGGGATCGGGACATCCCCAGGCGATCCAAATTCCACGGCAAACTACGCCAGCGCCAAGAACCTCAATGGAATGGGATGGACCCTGGTACCCTTTCCCCTACCTAGGAACTAGCACGCCTGTGGGAAAAATCCCAAAGGCCAAAAAAGGAAGGTCAAAAGGGAGGGGTGGGGAGGATGGGATTGGGGGGTAATTAGGTTCCGTCTGAGGAAGGAGACCGACAGGTCTAATTCCTCAGACCAAGAGCCTCTTCACCACGCCAAGGAGCCCCCCTTGAAGAGGGGGTTAGTTGGAGCTAGGAACAGTGTGTTCATGTAGTTGCCAGTGGGGTATTCGAGCTTGGATTTTATTGGCTAGGTTTTTTTTCCTGTGGTGGAGAAGAAATCATTGAGTCTGCTGTTTCAGTTGGGGTTCACTGGTTTTGTTAGTTCAATTGTCCTATTTCCTGATATATTTTTTGTTCCTAGAACAGTTGCACACATTGCACATCTGATACCCCACATGGTATATATATCTGGTACTTTTGCATACCAACATTGGTATACATTCTCATATGTCTGGCAGTCCTGGACTTGTATTTTTGGGGCCCTGAAGCTTCACTAGTTTCATAGTAGATCTGTCATTGAGTCCTGCACATCTGGCAGCTCCCCAAACATCCTACACCAGTCACCCTCACACAGTATGTCTCTCAACCAACCTGTTATTGACATCTGGCACCACCAAACAAATATCTAGTACAACATATACAGGTGGCAGACCTAATCATTCCATGTATTACAATCTTTTTATGGGGAAGCACTCAGACCCACCTTGATGATACTTCCTCTGTCACTCCTCACATACATACATACAGAACAGCAGGCATGGGGGAGTGCTAAACCCATAAGATTATACAGTGCATGTTGGGGGGGGGAGGAAGGTATTAAGGGAACCTGAGCACAGATCCAATTCCTTAGATCAAGATTGAAATAAGTCCTTAAAATGATAAACCTCAGCATCACACAGCAGGTGCATTTTTTTCTATTACTAGCAGCAAGTCTAGTGCTTAGGTTCTTCTTTGTTGGGTTTATCAGGGCCACTGACAGCATAAGCCGTATCGAGCCCAAGCAAAGAGGGATGCCCACACTCCCACCTGATGTCAGTAACCGGCTTCCTACCAAAGACCTATAAAGAATTATCCACAGATTATTATTATTATAATCAAGGGGAAGCGCTAAACCCGGAGGATTATACAGATTATCCACAGAGCGGAAATAGTGGAGCTGGCTAAAAGTATGCCGATGTACAGGTGCCCCTCCTGGCGAGTGCCTGGCAGGCAAAATAGACGAGGACAAGTGTCCCAGTGAGAATGGGAGAAACTTGTCACTGATACTCAGGCAAGAGAGACGCATCCACACCCAACGAAGGCTGGCGCAGAAGTCTAGGGCTTAGGTTCTACTTCTTGCACCTGACTATATTACCATTACATACCCTCTGCAAACCTGTATTTGGATTGTCTTAAACTGTCCAAACGTAGATCTACGGTTGTGTGCGTAGTGCTCCGACTTTGATTTTCTCCACAAGAAACAATGTAAAAAACGTAGATCTACATTTTTGACAGTTTAAGGGTTAATAAACCTCTTGGAGAGCAAATGTTAACGACAGTATCTCACTAGTTGCTCATGGCATCCTTTACCTAATACATTCTCATGTATAGATTTTCAGAGTTTGTTCTAAATAATTGCAGTACTTTTCATTACTTAGACCTCGTTGAATACTTTTGTCATGTCTATTTTTATTGACAGCTGAGATACCAGAAATGTTTAGATGCACACCCTGGAGTAAGTCGTGGACGAGGAGCAGGTACTCCACGAAGCATTTCGGCCACTTTGCGGTCTGTGTTCGGATCCATCACTGGACGAAAGGCTCGGTCAGCTGAATCCTGAGATGAGGACTCACCTCTGCAGGTAATGGCAGTGTTGTATGGAGTTTACATTCAATTTTAAAATATTTTCAGGGTTAGTTTTAGAGCTACAGTATACTGTACTTTGAAAGTTGAAATGCATGCAGAAAGGGGTAACTTTTAACCCTGTATAATAATCTTGGTCCTTGGTCTTTTTTTTTTTTTTGATACAAATTTGCATCTTACTAAAAAAAAAATAAGCTTTTTTGTATCTTTTAGATGCAGTTTTGATATCTAAAGATTTATTTTTACAGCCTCTTTTGTTTTTTGTAAATATAGAATAAGCCATTACTTCCACTCTGCACTTTAGTAACTAAAATAGTATAGGAACCCTTAAAGTATGTATCATATGCAGTATCACTGACCTAGCCATGTCTCACTACAGAAGATGAAGATAGCTGTGGAGGAACTGACTAGTTTCAATATGAGCAGAGTCAAGTTAATTGAATTAAGTACATGATGCACCTCTGAAGAACTATGCACTGTTCACTTCAGTAATAGCTATGTCATTTTCAAGTGGTGGCAAGAAAATGAATGAGATTAATTTGTGATAATGGATATTAGGAAACATGGATCATTACATTGAAGCACTTGGTTTACTGCCAACAAAAGACCAGATGTGCTGATATCTTGGCAGCTTATAGGATGGAGATGTAACCTATTTGATTACTAAAAGTTAATTTAGTGAGAAAACTAATGTTCGTGAAAATTAGTATAAGTGGTGCAGCTAGACTTTTAGGTATTAGAACATAATATACTTGGAAAAACACTCTCAAACTGAAAGAAAAGCAGTTATGGATTGTGAAGTGTTTACCCAAATTATCAAGGGTCATGGTGTTTAGCTAAATGTGTTTCCCAACCTGTACCATGTTTTTCATACGAATTATGTTTGAATTCATCACATTTAAGATTCAAATTACAGCTGAAACCAAAAAGGGCCATAAAGCTCCCTGCAGTTGTGAACTGTGAACATACCATGATATTTTCTTATGCCAGATCCCATCAAAATCCTAGATATTTAAAAGTATACGGACAATGAATAGTTATCCTTCAGCTTCTTTTAATGTACATTTATTGCATGTAGTGTCACTAATTGAACATTCAGTATGCATTAGCACATACGTAATGAAACGTGCCAAAATCTAAATGTAACTTGTGTATTTAGGCAAATTTCCACAAACTGTCAATCCATGAGCTTAAACAATTTTGTAATCGCCTTAAACTTTTTAAGCATGCAATATCTTTGGTTGATTCTTGTTACCCATAAATACCTTTTACCTTATATAATTATATTTGAGGTATATGTTAAGCTATTAGAAATGCTGTCACTGTAAATCTGTATTCTATTGTTTAAAACTATTTCATGAATTGATAAACTAATACTAATGGTAAATCAGAAATAAGCCACAAAATTTAAAATAAAAATTATAGTGCGAGTGTGGTGTGTTGTCTGTTACTAGAAACAGTGTCAGGGACACTTGTTAAAAATGAAATACAAGGCAGCACATAATTTTACCTCCAAGTGAGATTCTCTTTACCAAATAAAGATCACTGTTGAAGACAAAAATATAAACATAAAATGAGATGTTTCACATGAGCTTACTGAAGTATTCATTACACTTCAAAGTTTCATACATGCATATGCGTGCATACACTTGCACTTTGTATTTTTTTTTTTTCCAAGCAATGTTGGAAGACTTGAACTGAGGCAAGTTAAAGCTCAGGTTAGCAGCTCTACCCAGGATCCAACATGCCACAAACTGTACAGTGGTACACCTGCTGCCTTGTGTTTTGATTGGCTACATTTCTTTCCAACAACTCCCAGATGTTTATTATATTTCTTGCAGATTTGTATGCAAATTATATGATACATTATATATGTGTGTGCATTTGTGTATATATATTCTTTATATATATATATTATGCAAAAAGATCACAATATGAAGAACAACCACTGAAAAAAATAGTGAAATTCCAAGTGCTTTTGTGACTTCACATTATCGAGGAACTAGAAAAATATCAACAGGAAGGCATATAAGGGCAAGAGTACACCTCACAACACCCGACTGTGAAACGCAACTGATACTCCACCAGGCATTAAGACTTTACTTGTCTAATGTATTATTAAATTCTTCCCAAATTTTATTAATTATAAATGAATCCAATTCATATAAACCAAAAGAAATATTTATATTTTCAAAACTGCTTTCTATGAAACATGATTCTATTATATTCCTGCCAACCAAGGCTTGCGTGATTCAACTTTCTCAGTCTTTTGAAAGTCAATTGGATGTTTATTATTTTATTATTATTTTAAAGATCAGCCGGTATTCTCCCGGCCCGGGCCTTTTCCAAGTGGTGGCCCGGCCTTGGCTCCCTCTTTAGGGAGTGTCCGAGACCTAAGTCTCCCATGGGAGGAGGCACAAGTACCTCATCTTTGGGACCAACTGTCCCCAGGCCTAGCCACAAGCTAGGCCTCTCTGGTGTGCCATCCCCACCCCAAGGGGGCAAATGGGAATGACAGTCTTATGAGCTAAAGGCTCGGGCTCAGGCACCTACCCTACCCTAGAAGGGCTGGGCATGGTGTCGATCCAATTGGATGGTTAAAGTCTCTCACTTGAATAAATAGAGCATTAGAATCTTGTCTACTTCTACAACTATATGTTCTTTTAATTTTAGTTTAAGACTTTTACCAGTTTTACCATAATAAACTATCACATATTTTACAAGAAATCTTATACAAACACCAGTCAGCATTTTGGGGGGAATTTTTTCAAAAGTTCTTTACCGTATCAGTTCAAAAAGGGACAACCAACTTTATTCAACTAAAAATATGTTGGTTCTCCCTTACCATGAAAACTTAGTTGATATGCCTTCTCTTCTTAAGACTTTTAATATCAAAGTTGTATTTAAAAATCAAATTCCTTCCCTGACGAGTGTACGAGTCCTTGTAAAATACGGGATAGTTTATTACGGTCAAACTCGTAAAAGTCTTGAACTAAAATTAAAAACAACAAATATAACATTAGAGGTGGAGAGGATTCTAATGCTTTGTTTATTCATGCGAGAGATTTTAACCATCCAATTGATTTTCAAAAGGCTGAGAAAGTTTTATCAGGCAAGTCCATCATTGACAGGAATATTATAGAATCAGGTTTCATAAAAAGCAGTTTTGAAAACATGAATATTTCTTTTGGTTTATATAAATTGCATTCATTTATAATTAATAAAATCTGAGAATTTAATGATACATTAGGCAAGTAAAAAATCTTAATGCTGGGTGGAGTATCAGTTGTGTTTCAGTCAAGTGTTGTGACGTGACCGAGGTGTAGTCTTACCCTCATACGCCTTCGTGTTGATATTTCATTTTTATAGTTCCTTGATGTGAAAAGTCATGAAAGCACTTGGAATTTCACTATTTTTTTCACAGTGGTTGTTTTGCATATAAAAATTAATATATATATACATACATACATATATATATATGAGGGGTTCAGGATATTGGCAGTTTGGAGGGATATGTTGTGTATCTTTATACGTATATACTTCTAAACTCTTGTGTTCTGAGCACCTCTGCAAAAACAGTGATTATGTGTGAGTGAGGTGAAACTGTTGAATGATGATGATGAAAGTATTTTCTTTTTGAGTCACCCTGCCTCGGTGGGAGAAGGCCAACTTGTTAAAAAAAAAAATAAATATATATATATATATACACACACGTATATATGCGCATGTGCACACACAGTGTATTGTTAACTCAACAGTTGTCTCCCATCAAGGAATGATGGCACAAAAAAGAAGACACTGTTACTCAGTCTATCTTCCCAGAAATGTGCTATTGCAGTCAAATCACCCTTCAACTGTAACACCACCACTCTTCCAGAGTGCAGGCACTTTCCACCTCCAGGGCTAAGTCCAGATAATCTTGAAGGTTTCTTTGTTCCTACTTCAATAGCATGCCCATTAAAACCATTTTGTTTCTATTCACTCCGAACATTCTCACACACACCTACATTTAAAGGCAATGTGGTATTACCTTGAGTATAATTCAGAAGCCTGAGGATGGGTTGTGGTGGTTTAGGCATGTGGAGAGAAGTGTGAGATTGTATATATCTGGGGTGGAAAGTAGGAGGGTGTAGGTGTCATTCCAGGATCAGTTGGAGGGAGGAGGTGAAAGAGGCTTTGAGTTTTAGGGCTCGAGTATCCAGCAGGCTTGTGTGAGCATGATAGGAATGGAGAAAAGTGGTTTTAAATGGCAGTGTTGGAGTGTGAGCAAGGCAACTTTTATGAAACAATTGGGAGAAACAGCTGGACTTGTCCTGGAGGTAGGAAGGGCAGTGCCTGCACTTTGGCAAGGTAGGGATGTTGCAGCAGGAGAGTAATCTGTGTGTGGTGTCACCACACTTCTGGAAAGACAGCAGTTGCATTTTCTCTGGGCCACCCTGCCTTGGCAGGAGATGGCTATTGAATTAACCCTTTGACTGTTTTCGACGTATAAATACGTCTTACGAGCCAATGTTTCTGACGTATATATACTCAATAATTCTAGTGGCTTCAAATCAAGCGGGAGAAAGCTGGTAGGCCCACATGTGAGAGAATGGGTCTGTGTGGTCAGTGTGCACCACATAAAAAAAAAATCCTGCAGCACACATTGAGTAATGAGAAAAAAACTGATTGTTTTTTTGGAATAAAACGCCGACTTTGAGGTGTATTTCCGTATAGTATTTATCGTTGTATTCGCGTTTTCATAGTCTTAGGTGATAAAATGGAAAACATATTACAGAAATAGAGACGATTTTCATTACTTTGAGGATGAAAACGACCTTGAAACTGAGCTCAAAGTAGCAGAAATGTTTGATTTTTACCAATGTTCAGGAGTAAATAAATCACACCACACGTCCAATACACGTCAACTGGGGAGTCTAATATTCTTTCACTAGTGCACTGATATTATTTATACCATTTTTACAATAATGCAGTAGTCTGCATAACAGTAAATTTTGT